TTTTCTGTTGATGTAATGTATTACATTGATTAAGCAAGCATATTAAACTATCCTTGCACCCCAGGTATAAATCCCACAAGGATACATAATCCTTGTAATGTTTCGGTGAATTTGATTTCCTAGAATTTTGTTGAAGAGTTTCACATCAATACTCATAGGGGATATTGGTATGTAATTTTGTTCTGCTCTCTTTGGCTTTGCCGTTAGGGTAATTCTGGCATCATAAGATGTACTAAGGATAATTTCCTTTTCTTGGATTTTTATAAGGAATTTGAGCAAGATGGGCTTAAATTCTTCAGAGGTCAGACAGTATTTGCTTGTAAAGCCATTTGGCCCTGAGCTTTGTTTTGGGGGCGATTTTGATTAGAGTTTAAATTTCCATGATTGCGATCCATTTATTCGACTCTCGTGTATCTTCCTGCTTTCGTCTTGTAAACTGCATTGTTCTAAAAAGGTGTTCATTTCTTCAAGGTTATCAGATTATTAGCATATAGTGATTTAGAGTAATCTCTTAGGTTCATTGATTTCTATGCTATCTGTGGTAATTTTTCCATTTCATCTCTAACTCTGGTTATTAATATTTTTTCTTTATTAGCCTACCCAGAGGTTTATGTATTTTGTTTATCTTCTCAAAAAACCAGCTTCTAGTTTCATTGCTCTTTGATATAGTACTTGTGATTTCTGTTTCATCTATTTTCACTCTTATTAGGAATCCGGTCCTGCTCTTTGCCGTTCCTCCCACCCAGTTTACAGCCAGGAATGTGTGGGGGTTCTGCAAGGCCTCCATGGAAGTCTCACCAAATCTCCCTCACAGTCCTCCCCAAATCTCCTTTATTTCAGCGGAGTGATTATCTCTTTTCTTTCTCACAAACCTAACTCTCTTCCCTGGGATTTACACCACAGCCCCAGTGTAGAGCCACAGTGGAGTAGGGACATGACGCGGTTTCCCCTGCTCGCCTCTGAACAAGAATTTTAGGCCAAACCTCTCCTTTCCAGATAATACTTCCCAGTGCATAGGTTGAGAGGGAAAAGAGTGACACCCTACAAGCCCCCTAACCTGGGGTTCGCTGAGCGAGTGGGCATGGATGCCCCCTACTCCCTGCCTTCTTAGTCTTGCTTTTTGTTAGAGCCTCTCTCCCTCCCTCTCCTGCTCACGCCCTCCCCGCCCGCTTTCCTCCTGCCGGCCCCACTCATGGAATCCTGCCTCGTCCCTAGACCAGGTCCTGTCCCCAGTCTCCTCCCCTCGGGACCTCTTTTTGTTTAGCCTTCAGGGGGATGTGACTCCCTCCTCCCCCCCCCCCCCCCCCCCCCCGCACTGTGCTGCCCTGTGGACGCTGCCGGTGCCGGGCGCCGTCTTTCCTGGCCTGGAGAGTAGGTGCATCCCAGACTGTGCCCTCCGGACACCGCCTCCTAGCACAGTTGACTTATTTGAAGCTGGCGCTCCCCGGCTCCCATGTAGTGCGTCAACCCTGTCAGGTTGCAGTGTCCACGGAGAGCTCTCCCGCCACTGGGCCTCCCCGGACAATTTTTGCCACTGATGAGACGGAGCAAGTGCTTCCCATTCACACGGTCTCTTGGGGACTGCTGGCTGGCTGGGTCCCTGCCCTCCTGTTCAGTCTAGAGCCCCAGCACCCACATCCATGGGGGAAGGGTGCTTGCTCCCCCTCCACTACCTTTGCTCCTTCACTTTGGCTTTTTCTCCATTCTCCTGGCTCCTCTGTCTTCCCTCGAAATGACACAGCACAGATCAGTCGCCCTCGCTCAACATCCTGCCAGGGGGCCTTTTTGGAGAACGTGGTACAATTTTCCTATCACTGTATCATCTGCTGAACCCAACAGTGATGAGCTGCAGTTCCTGGCAGCACAACATTAGGAGCAGTCCATTTGGGGTGGGGCAGAGGAGTGGGGAGAAGGTAAAGCACACTTGAGCCGCACCCCTCGGTACTGTCCCCACGGGGTGAGCTGTGCCTCCTCAAGCTCACCTTCCCTGCACACACGCGCCTGTGTCCTGCACGCCTTTCCCCAGCAGCAACAAAGCCAGGATTTCAGGTCTCACCCCTTAGGGTTGTCAAGGATCGCTCCCCGCCCGCCTTAGCATTTAGAGATAGAATCTTCTAGAAGATGTGAGCTTGGTGATCGGGACTGGGACAGGAAGGGCAGAAGGCTGCAGCTACAGTCAGCTCCAGAACATGGAGGTGGGAGATGCAGACCGGATCTGAAGTGATGGGTGTTGAGGGAACTGTGTTGTGAAGCACAGAGGGAAAAGGTGGGTGGGAGGCTGGAGACGATCATGGGGTACTCAGAGAGATGGCCAAGAGGTTCAACACAGTATGACGTTGGCAGCGGGGAGCCTCTGGCTGCTGTAGGGGGCTGAATATTCTGGGAGCAAACACCTTGTCCTCACAGGACCTTCTATCTCTAGCCTCCTGCCTCCTTTCACCTGTCATCACCCCTTTCTCCTCTTTACTCTGAGCCATCCCGGGCTCTGCTGTCATAGACCTTCCCCATGCCAGCCCTAGAGTCGTCACTCACTCAGACACTGCCTGTCAATACAGCCTTACATGACTCCGCCCAGCACTCAGGGCCTCATGCCCCATTTTCCTCTTTTGTTCATTCTTATTTCCGAGCCAATGATTGGCCCGCTCATTGTTATGCGCAAAACCGAGGTCTAATCCGCGCCCAGCTTTGCAGACCCCTCCCGAGGACGCCTACCCTAGGAAACGCCATTGCTTTTCTGCAGACCCATTCTGGGTTTCGGTCACTTTCTATCTTGACCTGTTATAAATGTGCATGTCTTGACATCCCTACTCCATGCCAAGGTGGTGGGGCACCCCGGCTCCTCTGCCTACGTGGAGAAGTCAGTAAACAGCGCAGGACCTGCCCTGGCCAGGGACTCCCTTCTGTCGTAGGTCAGGGGCCACGAGGGTCGCCTTCCCTTCTGTCCTCAGAAGCAAATGTAAAAGAGCCGAGACAAGAGCCACACAGACATGCAGAGGAGCCTCTGCAGAGGGAAGAGAAGTGCTGGTGTTTATTTCTGGCTCCCAGAGTTGTTTATTATCAGCTTCTCTCAGGTACAGCACACCCTTCACATCCTCACCGACAATTACCGAGGAAGCATTCAACTAATTTCCTCAACTCCAACTGCCTTTAGTACGGTCTAATTTTAACATTACTCTCAGTTGTTATTTGAAGATGCAAATAAGCTGAAATGACAGGTGTCTGAGAGCCTGTCTGTCTTTCCCTGGGTGGCCGGCAGATGCCAGTACTGTCGGGGCCACTCCTCCCCGCCCCGCTCAGGGAGATCTAGCAAGACAGGCCATAGGCCACCCCCCACTCGAACAGGGGAAGTGACCCCCCAGAATGGCTGGTGAACTTGCATCGCCATCAGCTATTCGTGCATGTTGCCGCACACAGCCCGGAGTGCCGAGGTCCACATGGTCGCTGCATGACACGGATGGCTGGCACGTGAGTGTGCGGAGTTGGAACGGCGGGCACGCGGAGAGGGAGACTCTAGAACGAAAGCACCAGTTCCAGCCAGTGCCGGAGACATAGTCAAACCTTTTATTTTGTTGTTAAACTATATATATATTTTTTTTTCATTTTAGCCGTTTTTAATGAAAGCTGTAGATGAGACTATTTTATTCCTGCATCTTCTCAATTGTTTCTTCCTTATATTTGCCCTTTTCCTTTCCAACTGGGCGAGATTTGGCTTTGCGTTCTAGGATCTTTTTGCAGTCTTTGTCCAGTTTTAGTCTAGTGATCACCACCTTCCTGGGGTGAGTGCCCGCATGAACGGTTGTGCTATTTGCCTTCTCCCTCTGCGCTCTTTCAACATAGATGCCATAGTTCTTCCAGTAAACCTGGGCTACTTTGCCAATCTGCTGTCCTTTACAATGTCCCCGAACAACCTGAACTTCATCATCCTTCCGAATGGGCACGGATCGGACATTGTACGTCTGCCTCGGCTCTTTGGAAAGAGGGGAAGACATGATCTTCCTGTGAATGTGGGAAGGCGCATTGAAATGCCTTTGACGATTCTTGCTCCGGTCAGAAGTCACAAAGGGATTGAACTTCATTTTGGCCGCCGGTGCTTCAGCGATGGCCCCAAAAGGGAAAAGCTTAACTATGTTTTTTTTTTCAATGGCGGGAACATTGACTTACAACACTGCATCTGGTGGGGAGGTCCAGGTACACACCTCTTAGAAGCCACCACACGACACACAGCCACCACCAGAGCACCCACAGTCCATGGGGCGCCTCCCCCTCTGCTCCCCAGCCTCACCTTCCTCCCCTGCTGGGCTCAGTCCCACGGTCAGGGCTCTGCTTTTGTTCCGGTTTACTTTTGTCTGTCCCTTTGTTTCTTGATACTCAGCGTGGGTGAAATCATCTGGTATTTGTCTGACTTATCTCACGGAGCTCAACCCCCTCCAGTTCCGTCGGTGTTTGCAAATGGCAAGATTCTACCTTCTAGACATGTCACCTGAGCGTAGTCCAGCGTGGGCATACGCCACGTCGTCTCGCCCGCTGACCTGCCCAGGGCACTTCGGCTACTTCCCTGCCCGGGCGGTGGTCAGGGGTGCTGCGGGAGGGCCGAGGGGCCCGTGTCCCTGTCATCTAGTGACAGCTTTCTGCGAGAACTGCTGCATCACGGGGTAGATGGATTTTTAATATTTTGAGACCCTCCATACCATTTTCTAGAGGGGGCCAAAAATAAGTTTTATGAAAGGACCTTTGAGGCGTCTTAGGGTTCACGCCCCTGCACCCTGGCAGGACTCCTGGCCGTTAGGGAGGAAAGCCAGCAGGCTGCTTGGTCACCTGCCCCCAGCTTAGGACATGCACATCAAGAACTTCTTGTTGTTGGCTCTCCACCCTCCTTGCTCTGGCTTCTAACTTAGGCTTTGCATTTTTTATTTTTTGTCTCAGTGGAGACAGAATTGATTTTTTCATTCCATTTTGCTTTCTATAAAAATAAATAAAACTAAACAGTTACACATCAACATCCTTTATCTCTGAATAACATATTTTTTAAAAAAACACAATAAGATACATTTTTGAACAAGATTATATTTTCTACATTGTGCCTTCCAATGTACTAGGTATTTCTTCCACCTACATTATTTCACTTCCTCTTCACAGCAATCCCATGACTGATCACAGTTTCTTCTTTCTGTGTTGAAAGAAAAGACAGGTTGTAGGGTTAGGTAACCTCCAAGACTGCACAGTTTGTAAGCTAACCTGGGACCAGACCTTGGGGTTCCAAAATCAGCCCTTCTACTACACTAGACTGTGTCTCTAAAGGCTGATTTGAAATGGGTAGCGTGGGCCTCACACATTAAGTGCCTCCCCCAATCTTTGAAGCTGTTCATTTATTCATTGAATAAATACTAGCGGAGCACTGTGATGTCTGGGCACTGGATGGACATCAAGCATGCTGCTAACTAATTAATTAGTCAAATACAGTTCTAATAAAAGCTGCAACAGAGCCTCTCTACCTCCCACGGGCCACCCTCTGGGTTCTCTCTGCACTGTCTCCATCGTTGGACTCTACCCTCTCTCCCTGTCCTTCTGCGGCACCCCATAAACCCCACAGTCATTTGTCCCTCAGGAATTACCCTAACCGAGTGGATGACTGATGACTTAGTGTCTTCTTTTTCCTGTATAAATTGCCTTAGTTTGTGTTTTTTAAAGAGCAACAAGGCTCCCAAATGAGAGGGCCCTAGAGTCACGCGGAGTCTCCCCAGGGGCCTGCAGCAGGGGCGGGCGCACTGAAGGAGGCTCTCTCCGCCCCGGGAGCACACACACACTCCCTATACCGGTCCCAGAGAGCCCTCTGGCTGTTTCTACTGTCCCGTCTCCCCTTTTATAAGCACCTTTCTCCTGTTTTAGAAAAGAAACACATTCCTCTTGTTTGTTCTAAAGCTTACTATAATGTGTGATTCATGCAAAGGTTAAAAAATCCTCCAGAGCATGAGGAGACGAGCCAAAATATCAATATGCGAGTCAGTTCAGGGCAAACCTTCCTGGGCTTTTTAAGCACGAGGGAATTAGGCACTCAACACCTCCCTGGAAAGGCTGCAAGCACCCCATCTCAGCTGGCCCTAAGGGCTGGTCTCCCCAGTAGAGCACCCGCCCGCAGGGAGGCCCTGGAGGCGCCCACCGGGGCAGCAGCCACCCTCGCTGCCTGAGCAGCCTCTGCAAGCCAGGACCCTGGACACGCATCTCAAAGGTGCGATCCGGGAATTACTCAGGTCGAGAACTTGCTCATGCCGTGACTGCTTCTTGACAGAGAAAACTGGGGAACAAACATTAGGGCCCACTGCAGGAAAAGCCCAGCATGCCTGAGCTGGGGAGGCCAGCAGAAACCTGGGGAAGGACACTTCCATCTCACTTCCGCACACATACACCCAGTGGCAGGCACGAACCTCCTCCCTCCCACTAGTGTGCAGGGAAGCGCCAAACCCGCAGTAGGCAGTGCTTCCCGGCCTCTTCGGATGGGAGAGTTAAATGGAGATTGAAAAACCCCTCCAAGTATTTCCCCCTCCCCATCACCCCCATCCATGACTCTTTCAATTCTTGGCACTTCCAGCCCACAGGCTCCTGTTTTTCTTGCCTTCCACGTCTTTCTCTTAAGCATAAGGTACGGCATGCTGGGGTGTTCAGAATTCATGGCTGCTAGCATGATGACGTTCAATTAAAAAACCTCACTTCTTCCCTCCCCCAACGCTGGGGGACAAGCCCAGGAGCACTAAATAGGCAGGCAGCTTGACTGCAGCCAGGGAGCAACTCCCAGCGAGCCGCGCGGCGCCCGGGAAGCAGCAAGAGTGTGTGAGATGAGACAAAGCCAGCCGGGCCGCACTGCCTCGGCCTCTCAGCCCTCTCAGCAGTGAGGCGGGGCTCAGGGGGCGATGCTCACCCACCATGGCTCCCCCGAGGTGCAGCACAACTTTGCTTGACTGCAAGGGAGAGAAGATGAAAAGTTCCACACTCACTTCCAGCTGCTCAGTGTTACACCTGCGAGGCCACGAGGCTGCATGAGAGGCGTGTCCAAATTCGTTTCTCCCAGGAAACAGAAAAATGGGGCGAGGTGTCCAATTCAGAATGTGGGACCTGCAGAGACCTGACAGGCGAGCCTGGCAGATGTGGACATGGGGCTACGCCCTTGGGGCCGGCGGCCTAGCCTGGTAGGGGTGGTGAAGGCCGGAGCCTCCTGGGCCGGATGGGCTCCAACTACTGCTTACACTGTCAGGGCAACGGAGTCTTCTCTGGGTTTTGAGAAGGGGTCCCATGACCCACTTACAGGTTTAAAAGATCTGTGTGATGAGCAAGTGGACAGCAGACTGAAAAGGGGCAAGAGCGGAGGTGTTTGCACAGTTAGGAAACTCCTGACACGCAGGGCGCGGGAGGATGGCGGTGGGCTTCACCTGACTTCTGCCCCTCGGACACGGGGATTCGGAAACTCATTGGTAAGAACGTTGTCAGGGGACAGGTGCTGAGACAGCCCGTCCTTGCCTTTAGGGAGCTTCTGGTGTAGGAAGGGAAGAGACAGGCAGAGCCCACACTTGCTGCCAGGCACCCTGGGCAGCGGAGGGAAGCAGTCATGGGAAACAGAAGAGGTCCTGATCCTGATTTGGGGTATCAGGATTGGGATTTAGGGGGACATTCCTGTCCCCCAAACCAGCCAAGTAGCTTATTTTTTATTTACCCGACTACCCTCCTGCCAGCAGTACCAGGCTGGCCATAGGCAAGTGAGTCTTAACGTGGCCAAATCTGGAAGCATCCTCTGTCTTGCCATTGTCCTCAGGCCTAAACCTACCGCCTACACTGGAATCCAGGCTCACAGAATGGCACTGCATCATGCCAGCTGGGACAGTCATGAATTCGGGCCCTAACCTGAGTCCCCAGGGCCTCTTACTCTCGTCTCTCTGCTCTGCGCGCCTTCGTGTTCTCCTGTTCCCGGCCACCACCCTCTCTCGCCTGCACTGCTGCCGCAGCCCGCGCCTGCTCGCCCCCTCCGGGCTGTCCGCCAGCCCCACCCAAGGCATCCAGGTGCGCACCCCCCGGGTACTCTGCTGGCTTCCTCCTCAAGTCTCGGCCTGGCTGTCACTCGCCGGGGGAAACTCCTCTGACCCCTTGTCTAGTTAAGCTCCTCTCCCCCATAACGTGTAAGTGACACTCCGCCGTTCCCTCTCACAACCGTGGTCACGAGCGCCCAGCATGAGTCTGCTTCCCCCCCAGACTCAACACTCTGCGAGGGGTCACCTCTTTATACACGATCCTTCCTCACCAGACAGAAGGGCGAGAGGCGAGCTCTTGTATGAAAAATCTGGGAAACTGTTCAGCTCTGGCTTGAATGGGAAGCCCAGAGCAGACAATCCGGGGGCGCCCCGCCTGTCCCTCCAGCCTCACCTTTCTGCTTTGCTTCTCCTTGGCTTCCCCCTTGCAGGGCTGGCTGCTGTGACCACAGATGGTGAGAGGAAACATAATTTCTATTTCTTATTTGGTTTGGAGCATGCCGTGACAGACGGAAATAAATTATCTCTATCCTCACCCCACCCCCAAATTTCTTCTCCTTGCTTTGGAAATCTTTGAAGACAAACTCTCTGAAGGGCTGACAGGCAGGAGTGGGAGAGAGCTGGAGAGGAAGTGTTGACTGAGTGGAGAGCAGCTAATGCTTCCGTGGCTATTCTGGCACTAGGACAATTACGGCTGTGGAGGCACTCTGGCTGGGGAGGAAGAGGAGAAGCTCTCTTCTCATCCATTAGAGGCGACAGCAGGGTCTGAGGAGGCTGGCGAGATCTGCAACCTCTGAACCTCTTCAAGGATAAAAGGTCTCCCCCACCAGACCATGTCTGTCTGGGCCTGGGAAGCAGCATGGCACTAGCTGTACCCTGTTCTCTTGGTGGCTCCCCTGGAATTGACTCCTGCAGATGCTCCAGTAGAAATTTCTAGCTACTCAGCAGGGTGGGTCTGCTCTGTGCCCCTTCCCCAGTGCTAGCCGCTGCCCCCCGCCCCAGGTTTCCTCTTAAGTCTCAGGGGATGCACAGTAATCCCTGAATTCTGCTCCTATTTACCTGAGCCTTCCTCTTCAGGAGCTACAGAATCCTGATGTTTTTTAAACATTCATTTCAGAGGAGAAAGACCCTAGAACTGAAAATGTTCTGGGACTTCAAAGGCACTGCTGGACCTGGCAGCTCTGCAGAGGGAGCAACACAGGCAAATGGGGGAGGAAGCAGGGAGGGAAGGGAGAGAAGAGGATTGGGTGGAAGCTGAGCGCTGAGTCTTGTTGAAAATGAAACCAGAGCTGAGAAATGTCAGCTGGCTTTCACTGAGCAGACCCGAAACCCTGCTCCGTGGGCCTCTGGACAAAGGCAGGCAACACCATGTCCTTTCACTTCATAGTAGTCTAGATTGTCACCAACTGCTTAAATCCAAACACACACACCCCCCATCACTGGCAGCTTCTGCCGGCAGCTGCATCAGGTTGCCTGCACCATTGTCATGACTAACCAAAGGGGAGAAGATAAACTCCAGACCCAGGTCTGAAATCACCACAGTCTTTGCCCACCCAGAAAATACAGCCACAGGGCAGTTTCTATCTATCCTGTGCAAGCCAGGAGTGGGCCCTGCGCTGAGCGCTTTGTACGTCTTCTATCACATGTTTCTGTGGTAATTTCTATGATTGGCTCCATTCTTGGATGCAGAGACCAAGATTTGAAGTCAAACCATTGAAGCAAGCCAACCAGTCACAGCTCACCTAGCTGCTAAGGGCCACAACCTCCAAGGTTTCTCTGATTTCCCACAGCAACTTGCGTGCACCAGTGCCACACCTTAGATTCAGGTAGGATCTTACTACCTGTCAGTATTAAAAGCTTGTATACTCTCACCCAAGTCAGTAGATGCCACATGTGTGATTTTCAGGCCGGTGTGTACCTGTGGCCCAGCTTCCACCATGTAAACAAGGGTAACACTCTACAACAGGTTCTCAAACTTGGGTGTCACTGGATGCAGAGTGTTACCAAGTTTAGGAAACTGTACTTTGGAAGATACTGGACAAACAAGGTGGAAGGAACTTGGGTCTGATGGAGCACACCCTCCTGACAACAGGGAACGTTGACCTTGAACAGCTGCATGACAGACACAGCCACTTCTATCTTATTTACCCTAAGA